TCATTTGGGCTGGGAGACAGGTCTGTGGAAAGACAGTCCTGGGTGGCCAGCCTCTCCGAGGTGAGGGGGGTAGAGTGGGAGACTCCTAAGGCCCAGGGGAAGAGAGGATGTAGGAATACGGAGATGCTGTTGTTTGGAGGAGGGGCTGAGCCAGGGTGGGAGTGGAGAACTCACCCAGCTGCTTCTTCCGCCGCCAGCAGTTGACGAGTAGGGCAGTGGCCACGACAACCATGAGAAAGAGCAGGGCCAGCAGGACACCAAGGAGTGTGCTGTGTGAGGGCCTGTCTGGGCCTGGCCGCACCACTCTGCCCAGGACGTGACACTCACCATCCACGCAGACCTGGGGGCAGGCAGCAGCTCAGCCCGGTCTGCAGGCCCTTGGCCCATGCTTCCCGTGGGGGCTGGTTGGGCTGCCTACCTGCAGTGGGGCGCCATCCTTGCCGAGTTGCAGGGAGGAGGGCAGGGGGCAGACCACCAGATCCCCCCGGAGTTCATGCTGGCAGCTCTCACCACCCACGGTCACGTTGATGCCCACACAGTCTGCCACTGTGCCCAGCCCAATATACTGCAGAGACAGTTATGAGGCCCAGCCAGTGACCTGGCCCCCACCTCCCAAATGCCCCGTCTCTACCCACAGCCCCCACACCTACCTGAAACTTAATGGCATGCTCTTCGGGCTTCAGTGGGGCTAGCTCTGCAGTGGGTGGGCGGGGTGGTGGTAGGAAGCGGAAGCCAGGCAGGGTGAAGCCAGCAGCTCCGTCCCCCTGGACACTCAGATTCCCTGTCACCCACCCCGGGGGACCTCGGACCACATATGCAGGCAGGCGGCACCGCTGCTCCTCCTCCGCAAGCTGCTTCTCGCACTGTAGGGACCCACATGAGAGTGGTTAGCCAGGTGCCTGCCTGTGGCTGCCCCAAGCATCCAGCATAGGGTGGGGCTGGGGCTCAGGTGACTGGTCCAGCCTGCCTCTCTCCTAGCCAGCGCCCACTCTGCAGCTGCTCACACCACTCACCCTGTTCTCCACCTGTCTATGCCTGTCCCGGAACGACAGCAGTAGGTGCCATGCTGAAGTCAGATGCTGTCCGTGGATGGTGATGTGGGAGCCACTGTGGAAGAGGGCAGGGTGGTGGGGGCTGGGTGCTCTCCAAGGCTGACTCCCCAATTCCTCAGAGGCCAGATGGAGCAAGGGGGTGGCACTTACGTGTAGCCACAGTTGGGGCTGATGCCTAGCACGACCGGGTCTTCCTTGTAGTGGAAGGTCCAGGAACCGGGCACCTCGGCACCTCCCACCTGCAGGCGAAGGGGCACGCTGGCCGTGGCAGCCCCAGGGGGCGTGACACAGAAAAGCCGCCCCTCGCTGACCCTGCAGGAATGAGGGCTTGGGCTCAGGGGCACCCCCTCCCCCTGCCCCTGTAATGGCCAGGTCCCTGCCTTCCAGGGACCTGCCAATCCTCCCCAGTTCCTCTGTTGGTCATCTCCCCACCCTGCCCACACCCCATGGGTCTGCCCCAGTAAGACTGCCAAGAGGCTAGGGAGGGATGGGTTCTCCCCAGCCTGGCTGGGGCTGGTGGGCTGTGACAGGCTCTTCACCTCTGGCTGGGGTGCAGCAGACCCTTCTTCTGAGACCTGCTCCCCCTGCTGACCATGTGACTAAGCCCTCTTCCCTCCACCCTCACCCTGGGGAGGCTCCTACCCGGGGTCCTAGGGCCTCCCATTTCTTGCCCGTTGGCACCTACCCTTTCAGCAGGCACTCGGTTCCATTGACCAACACAGCCCGGCTGGCGCCGACAGACAGACCCCGGCCTTCAAGGGTGACACAGGTGCCCCCTGCCCGCGGGCCAAAGAGGGGTTGTACTTTTGTCAGCACAGCCTCCTAAAAGGGCATCGAGGTGGCTTAGCTGGAACAGTGGAGGCACTGCACACCCTTTCCTTCCCATAATGCCCAACCGCCAAGGGCACAGAAAGGACAGGATGACCTCACCACGAAAGAGAAGTTTCCCAGCACGGAGGTGCCATCTATCCGGAAGTGCTTGCCCGGTGGCATATTAGTCACAGTGAGGCTGACGTTGGTAGGCCCTACTGCCTGGGTGCTCGAGGACTCCAGCTCACATTCAAACTCCTCTATAAAGTCCTTCCGGGGCACTGGGCTGGGGCATCAGAGGAACACCTGAGGTCAGCCAGGAAGTACACAGGCCTGGCTGCATGCATGCCCCAAGTCAGAGAGCTCCCCTGAGCCTAAGGATGGCATCTTTTGACCCACACCTTCCTGCAGGGCAGGCAAGGTCTGGTGGGGCGGGGACTAACCTTGCCCAGTCAGGCTCACAAAGGGCCAGAGACAGCTCCCCGGAAGAAGCCAGAGCCCCTGCAGTTTGCTCAAGCCCCTCACCCTGATGAGCAGAGGACAGGACCTCACAGGGAGGGGACTACTTGGTAGTTGTTGTCAGGGACAGGGAAGGCAGGGCCAGGCTGTACCTGAGCTTTGAGGTGTCCTTGGGCAGCACCCGGCAGGGACTCCGACCCACAGTGACTTGGTGGGTTCCCTCAGGCACCAGACCGTTGGGGTGCAGATAGAAGTTGGAGCCACACAGAGTCAGCCTCGTGCTGCCCCTTAGGGGGCCACTGTGGGGATGGAACTGAAGAGGGGGGAGAGAGAGCTCGAGACCTCGAGCTGGAGTGAGATCTCTCAGCCCCATCTGCTGCCCCCAGTTTCCTGCCATCTCCTTGCCTGTCCCCCTGCACCAGCCACTCGGGGTCACTTGCCAGGCTTTGCTCAAGCAAAGACTTGCCTCCAAGTCTTTGCATGTGTCACCCCTTTGCCAAGAGTGCCCTCCTTGTAAATATCAGGGACACCCAAGGCCTCAGGAAGGTCATGATCAAGACGTCCTGAGCCCTAGCCCAGCTAGGACACCCAGCTTGTCCCACCCTAACCTGTGCCCTGCTAGGGGAGCTGTACCTCGGTAAGCTCAGGTGGACAGCGGTCTTGTTGCCAGGAACCAGGACACTCCTTCTGCCAGCCACACTTGTCCCCGCACCAGCCACAGCCCATGAAACGCTGTGCCCGCAGGCAGCGTCCACAGGTGAGGAAGTGGTGGCAGCCAGGGCCCCGGATAGGTACCTGGAAGACCTTGGGGTGGCAGACAGGTGGCTCAGGGCGGCCTCATAGACCCTCCCGCTCCCATTGCAGACTAAGGTGGTAAGACTGGGTGTCAATGTCTCCCTGGATTGGATGCAGAGGCTGTGCTCCCACAACCCTAGCCCCAGGGCCTATCCCTGCCCATCTCACCTGGTCCCCTGAGGCGAAGAGTAGGTGGTCCCCAAGGCGGCTGACATCTCGCTGAATGGGCTGCCCATTGCTGACCAGCGAGAAGTTGGACACATATAGCAAGTAGCTGAGTGACCTGGCCAGCTCCACCTGGGACGATCAGTCATGAGCAAAATGGGGATGAGGACAACGACCCAGGGCCTGTGGCCTGAGGAACCTACCTGCAGGATACGCCCATCAGCGGTGCCCATGTGGGCCACTGTGACATTCTCGAGGCGTGTCACGTACAACGCAGTAACCTGCACCGGCCCCAGCATCCCGTTGAATAAGTCCACACGTGAGAGGCTGCGGCTGATCAGTAGAGGGAAGTGAGGGCAGCTGATATTGGGGCTGGAGGCCTCCGGAACAGGCTGGAAAAGAGTTGGGAAGGGGGAGAGCCAGGATTCAGCTCCACACACTGATCCCCTGCAACCTTTGCCAGTGACCACGGCAGCCTCAAACTCCTACCCCTCTCCTGGCCTCTGGACAGGGCCCAGGACCTGCCAGTCACCTGTATCTGCACCCATCTTCCCCATGTGGAGTTCCCGACTCTTACAGACCCAACCCTGCTCCACTCACACGACTACCCTGCAGAGTGGGCGCTCTAACCACATTCGTCTTACAGACAGCAAATAGGCTCAGAGGTTTGGTCACTTACCCAAGGCCTAATAGACCCTCTGGAGAAGAGCCAGGTTGGATCTGAGCTCTTAACCAGAGTCCTCTCTCGCCCCCTGCTGGCTTTGCCCTGCCTCTCCGTGGCTGGTACGGCAAACCCTACCCCTGGTTTCATGTCCTCATTTGCATAAAGGGCAGGACTCGGAGGTTCATTGGCTAGCGAGGTGCAGGTAACCTGGTCCTTCTCCCTGAGACTCAGAGGTCTTCCAGCACCTCCACTGCTGCCTATACCTCCTTTGGGGTATAAAAAGGATTAATCAAGGCTCCGGATGCTGGGAGACACTAACCTCTCCCCTGCTGTTAGCAAGGGGAGTGGGGTTTGGGAGCTGCATTTATGCCCCAGGGCAGGATGGTGAAAGCTTCTGGGAAACTGGGAGGTATTGGCGGTGGGTCTAAGGTGAAGGCAGGGCTCAGTAGCCAGCCTTCTGAGGGCCTAAGCCCCAAGGGCGGAAGCCTTCATCAGAACACATAAATTTAATCCAGTCTTGAGACATGAGAATTGGCCAGGAGCCCTGAGAGTAAGAGCAGTGGCAGAGTTGGGCCTAGAGACCCACAGGCCTAGGTGAGTGGGACCTGGGACTTTGTTCTCACTTGAGGTTGCAAAGGGGCTTGGCCCGGCCGGAAACCTGCCAGGTGTTTTCATCATGACTCAGGGACAGGTGGGGCTCTGGAGCCATGAAGAGTTCCTTCCCAAGCCAGGGCCACACCCTTGCCAACCTGCTCCTAGGCCCTGGAGCCTTAGCTCTGGGTTCTCAGTCTTGTCTAGGGGTCCTTGGCTCCTGAAAACATTAAGGGTCCAATGCCCCATGGAACACCTGGACACTCGCAGAACCTAAGGAGGGTGGGTGCCAGAGCCCCCTGGGAAGCTTCCTGGGGCCAACCACTGTGACACCCTGTGTGTGCTGCTCCAGCACCTGCTGCCCAGAGTCACAGGACAAACACTGCACAGGCTGATTGTCACACCTCCTTGGTGGGCAGGGCCAGAGATTAGTCCTGGAGCCTGGCACTGCCCAGCTGTGCTGCGAGTCTTCTGACCCTGTGAACACTAGCCAAGTTGGGGAGAAGTTCTGACTTCCCAGAGGAGAGGAGAGGGGACCAGGCAGGGCTGGCCAGACCCAGACAAGGAGTCTCCACTTCAGGGGCCTCTCAGTCCAGATGCACTAAACTGAGAGAGGAGGCTGAAGGTCTCTCACCCCACCCCGGGTGTAAGTTTTCCCACCTCTGCGGTGTAAGTGCGAGCTTGAAAAGGAGTCAGTTGAGAATGTCACAGCAAGGTGGCCAGAGACTCTGACAGCAGCAGCTCTCTGGGTCAACTTAATGAAAGGCCACCCAACCAGTACTCCATTCAACTTAATCCTTTGGTCTAATCGCATAATCCTGGGTAGAATTGTTTCAATGCCTTCAAGGAATCAGTTTTGGTTTTGTCCTCAGGGTATTATTTTAAGAAATGTTCCATCTATTTCCACTCCAGCTCCCTGACACCATGGCTGGAGAGAACCTGTGTAGGGTCTGTTGGAAGGAGTCCCCATTTCCACATGGTCCCCGAGACCTGTTGCTTAGGGCAGGGCTCCCACTATGGTGGAAGAAAGTCTAGGGTGGACCAATTCCAATCAGCCCCTCCTACGCCCTTACTCATTCTCAGATGTTTATAGTTGCTTGCACAAGACCGGGGTGAGGTTCCTGGAACCTTCCAGAGAAAAGCTGCCTTCCTACCAGGTTTTCCCCCAACCGCTCTACAGAGAGTGGGTTAGTGGAGCCCAGGCTCCCCCACAAGCCCACAGACTTCCAGTGCCTGGGAGGCTCACCACCTGGTGGAGGGGAGGGGAGGGGGAGATTCTCTGACTACCCCTGCCCCACCCCCTTTGGAAAACAGAGCAAAACAAGTGCTCCCACAGGGAAAGTGAAACTGTCCCTAAGGAATCTGGAAGCCTCTGCCTGTGTATTTGGGGGGAGGGGAACATTTTTTCTGTGTATGTCCCTGAAGGTATTGTTGATGGGTATTAGGACACTCTACCCATATTTGGGGAGCTGTGCTGGCAGAGACAGCCATGATGCAACCCCATCTTATTTTTTTAGAGATTTTCACTGTAGGGCGCGTGCGCTCGCCAGACAGACAGAGAGAGACATAGAGACAGAAAGCGAGAAATCACCCCCCAGGGGGGATGGTCACGCCGCAATCCCTTCTCCTCCATTCTCCTCTGGGGATCTTGGGCACGCACACACACGCGCCCGGCGTGAGTTTTAAGCCACCGGGTCCGGGACACGAACCGCGGTCAACTACGTGGGAGTCCAGCAACATAGCCATTACGCTAACTGCTGGTTCCCAACCCCATCTTCACATAACCAGGAATCCTACCTAAAAAATCAGAGGCCATGATGGGGGAGGGGGTCATTCAAGAGCAAAATGAGGTAGTGCCAAGGCCGGCAGGCTGGGAGACCAACCTCAGGTGTGGCGGTGGCTGATTTGTCCCCCCCCAGTACTTAAGAACAGGGTGGAAGAAGAAGCTTCTATAGTCTGACCTCCCCGTCCCAGACCCTCTTGGAGATGGAGGGGAGCCACCTGGTTCAACCTCCACCTGCCCACAGGTGGGGGCCCCTTCTCTCTGCTCACCGGATTAGGACAAAAACTGGGTGCCTGGAAGAAGTCGAGGCCTCTCCGGAAGCCAGAAGGGACAAAGGGTCCACAGCAGTGCTCCACACCTTCATCGATGAGCGTGTCCACCAGGTCAATAGGGAAGGCACAGACAACCGAGGAGGGGCCCTCGCCAGGGCTGCTGTCCCTGCCAGTTGTGAAGACCCCGAACAGCACTTCCTGGCCCTCGGTGATGCTCAGCTCTGTGGCAAGTTGGGCGCCCACTGGAGCGGAGTGGGCTGCCTGCAGCACTGGGTAGGACTGCCCACCTTTTGGGGCCCCTCGGCGTCGGCGTTTAGGTGCAAAATGACAGTTGAGGACCAGCTCGCGGTAGTCTCCCAGCTCCGCCTCAGTGGCGCTGAGCCGCACCAGGCGCGTGTGCAGGGTACCAGGAGCGTCTGTCACACTGACCGGCTGCACCGTCAGGAAGTAGACGAAGGCTCCAGCGTGGAAGCTGTGCACGTAATGGATACGGTAGGAGGCGAGGTACTCTGGAAGCACTGACAGGGTGGCAAAGCCTGGTGCGAACCCGGAGGCATCGGCCTTGAGACGCCGGATGGATATGGAGTGTGGGCTGAAGCTGGCAGCCACCGCTGGGTCCAGTGAGGATGCCACATAGAAGTAGGAGGCTTGGCCCTGATCAACCACGGTCACGCGGGTGCCCAGTGGGCTGGCCACACAGTCTGGGCAGTCCTCAGGCAGGTTGTGGCGGGCTGAGAAGAGGCAGGCAGGTGCTGCCAGGTGCAGGGTTGTCCCGCCGGACTCCAGCTCATGCAGGAAGCAGCGGCCCTGTAAGTTCGAACCACAGCTGACCAGCGCTGGCAGCGCCGGCTCCAGCACCAGCACCTGCGTGTCTGTGTCTCCTGCTGGGCCGTGCGGGCCGGGACCACAGGCCGCACACGTCTGGCAGCCAGGGTCCCCAGCAGGACCGGTGATCAGGGTCTCAATAGGCTGCAGGTCAGGCCCAAGCATGTGCAGGCGATTGCGTGTGGCCACGAACACTGCACTCCCATCCGAGCCGCCCTCGTAGGTCGCCGTGGCCTGAACCGGACCGCCCGCGGAGAAGCTGGGCACCACATACTTCACGTCGAAGTCGCGGGAGGCTGCGTAGGGGATGCGGGGGCACTGCCAGTCCTTGTCCACCGCGGGCACCGCAGGCCACAGCAATAGCAGTAGCAACAGCAGCAACAGGGAGGACGGCGGCGGCGACGGGAGGAGATCCATCCAGGCCGACTGGGGGCCCCTTGGGGATCCCTGCGGGCCGTGGCCTTTTCAGCACAGATCCCCAGAGCCTCTCGGAGGCCGGCCCCCCGCCCTGGGATCCTGCGAAGCTCAACCCGGTTCCCTGGCCTCGGATCTGAGCACTTGATGCAAGCGGACACATGGGCAGGGAATGGTCGCGCCACCTCACCTGCCGCCCCAGCTGCCGCTTCTGGCTGGCGCTCCGAGCAAAATCGCTCGGAAGGGGCCGGGGGG